TCCACGAATTTCCAAAGGCCAGGCCAACATGCTTCAAAGTGCACTTCTGCATGGGCATCCTCCTCACCAACGTTCTTTTCTTCTATGGTGAGGTCTTTCCCTGATATCAGCGCCAAGCCTCTTAGCCAGAATTGCCTCGGACGACGCGTCCACCCAACTTCATGCGCCCACGTCTTCAAAGGCCTCATTTGCGCATCTTCGCTCCGACAATCCGCGCGTCAGCGGCATCAAAGAAAACGTTCTCGTATAGTTCAATCACACTCCATGGCCGTTCATTTGGGAGCTCACTTGCTTCTTTCAGCCATCCCGCAATCTGCAGCGTGTCATCAAGCAGCCTCCCCATTTCGCTGTCTGCACCTTCGCGCTGGCTCTTCAAGCGGCTTTGCTCAACGCATGGCCAGCCCCCGCAGACTAGAACCCGTCGAGCTCGGCAGAAAGTCCTTCTCCACCTCAGTACATCCTCCCGGGTGATCTCTTTGATGTCGCTGTAGAACATACTGTGTGGGCGATGCCCTTTCTGAAGTTTTCTGGCCTTCGGGTTGTGGTCGACAAAAATGAGTCCCATGGGGACCACCCCTAGCAATTGCAAAGCCTTCGAGAGCCCTCCGGCCCCTCCGAACAATTCAACAACAAGGATCTCATCTGCTAAAGCTCCGCCCTGGCAGTGGCTATCCAGTGCGAGAAGATGCGCGCGTACATCCCCCACTTTGGATAGAGACTCGAGGTCTCAGCGGTGGTCCTGATCGCCCAAATGCCTCGTCTGATGCCTTTCGGCTCAAGGTGAAGTACCCACGCCAGGCATAGCCAGGACGATAAATGTGGAAGCAATGCTTCTGGTCCTCGGCAAAGAACAGCGACACCTCCCCTTCTTGGACAATCATCTGTCCAAAGAGTGGCCCATAGGACATCTGGGTTGAGGCTCGCACCGGGAATCTTCCTTGCAAGCCATTCGACGGGATCAGGTTTATGATCAATCGCACGCACCTTGTCCACTCCCCTGAAGCTTCTTGCTTCCACGCTTTGTGGACACCAAAGGCTCCATTCAGCACCGGCTTCCCCTTCTGGCACACCGTCTCCTCCTCGACTTCTGCCTCAAAAATGCCGGCCACCACAAGGGACTTCACGATCTTGTCCCATTCAGCAGGACTTTCAACATGAACCGGTGCAGTGTATCGTGGATTGATCACCTCATCGTCATCCAGCCTCACCAGCGCCGGGTTGACAGCGTACTCACGGATGCGCTCCGGGAGCACTGACGCGGGATTGAAGGCTCAATGGCTTTCAGCGTCAGCGGGTAGCACTTCCGCCACTCCTTCCCTGTGTAGAGCTCCCCAAGTTGTTCGCTCACATCATGCCAAGGCCCTATCCTCACAGATTCCCCTGAGTTGCCAAAGGTTCTCGCATTCCACTTCAACTTCTCCATCACGGGAACTTGGCACTCAAGCAATGTTTTGGAGTGGAACAAAGTCTGTGTCAGCAGCCTGTCCTTCCCGATGTACATGTAGTTGAGCAGCACTACTTGGAGCCAAACCCATGCATCCACACCCGCGACTGGGACCCAGTTGTCCAAGGATTCCTTGCTCCCAGCCTCCGGCTGTCCCAATCTGACCTTCTCAAGCACCCGGCGAACTTCAATCTCGGCCTCCGTGTCATCAGGCAAAGGCAATGGCAGCACTTCCTGGAAAGGCTGTGAACTACCCAAGGGCCCCACTGCGCACAGCTCCATCAGGATCACTGCTGTCCCAAGGAGTGAGGGTCGCACTCTCACCTTGAGCACGATCTTCAGTTGAAGAGTAGTCATAGCTCCCTCCACGAACGCCTCAACCTGCTGATAATATTCTCTCCCTCCATACCGTGGTCCTTGCCCTGTTCCGCCTCTCAGACCGAAATAGTCCACCGTGCTCTGAGCCATCTCCAAGCTGTCACCCTCATCAATGTAGAGTGGACGTCCTTCTAAGAGTCGTCGTGCCACTCTGGTGTCCAGTCGGTCACGATTTGCCTGCCCCAACGGGCTTGCGGTCAACCTTTTGGATCCATCGCCCACATAGATGCCTCCATCACTGCGCCATTGCAGCCACTCCCCCGACACCCAACGAATGATCACCCCGTGATGACGGCCGGCCTCCGGCCCCTCTACATGGTGATCACTCCTACAGCCTTCACGGGCACAAACCATCTCATCAGGGGCACTCTCACTGTAAAGCTCATGGTACTTCCGTGTCAGGACGTTTGCAATCTCCGGCGGCTCTTTGCCGCGGTTGCTCTCCAAGATGGCCTTCACCCTTTGCGACCTGACATCCTTTCTGTCAGCACTTGCACCTTCCATGATCTCGTTCACCAATGGGGTGAGCACCTCTGGAAGCAACCTCTGATCTTGCTTCACTTCTTCCATTTCCCCCGGCCTTTCTTCCCGCGGCCTTTTCATTTTGCGGGATCTCCCACGTCGTTCAAGGGGGCTGTCCCATCGGTCACCACTGCGTCTCCGCCGCCGTCTCCTTTTTGGCTGACCTTTGCCTCCCTTCCATTCTCCTTTCCAGCCCCGAGGGGCCCAGGCCATTTGCTGCAGTTTCAGGTCTGCTTTCCGCTCGGCCTGCACAGCTTTTAGCTCTTGGCGGAAATAGCTGTGCTCCTCGTCCGCATGGGTCAGTTCGAGGTATTGGGCCTGTGCCCAGCTGCCCTGATCGGCTGCGAGCTCTATAGCCTTTTGCCGCTGAATCAAGACGTCGAGTCCCCGCAGAATGTCGTTGCTTGCCAGGAGGTCCACGACTGTCATGCTCCTTCATAGTTTTTATGCCGAAGTGTGACGAACTTCGCCGGGGAACCAACCACTGATGGAGGTAAGCCCTCGCACATGGGGGGAACATCTCGTGATGTTTTGTTCCCGCCTCTCTCCCGGCCGACCGCTCCAGAAGTTCTTGATACTTCAACAGTGTCAAATTGGCCAGGTGGCCTGGCTGCTCCTGATGGATTTGACGTAAACGGTCGACCCCCTCCGGGAGAGAGGCTACGCGAAAAAACCTCCTCGCCTGAAGAAGAACTTGAGCTACTCTTGGATCCTTTGCCTTCCTTCTTGCCCCTCTTCTTTCTCCTTTTCTTGTTCAATCGAAGGGCACTGTCTCGGCTCTTCACTCCCTCACGTTT